TTTAGTGTTTCATGTTTTATTGAGTCAGGTTCCTTTTATGAGATTTCTGGGGACTTAGTGAAGAAAACATGAGGGGCAGCCACCTCCCAGTGATGATACAGGTGTCTTACTTCCATGGGAATCTGGGTCAGGACCGCACTATTTCCTTGAGAGTGCCCAAAACAGTATGAATAATAATTTTTTTTTTTTTTTTTAGTGTGGTATTCCCCCCTGGGAAGTGGCGGAAGAGGGGCCAGAGCAACTTTTTTTTTTTTTTTTAAATATAATGTTGTCAGGTAGGGGACAAGGTAGAGTAGAGAGAGGAGTAGGAGGAGGAGAAGGTGGAGTAGGAGGGAGGAGTAGGAGGAGTAGAAGGTGAAGTAGAGGGAGGAGTAGGAGGAGGAGAAGGTGGAGTAGAGGGAGGAGAAGGTGGAGTAGAAGGAGGAATAGGAGGAGTAGGATTGAATAAGAGGAGGAGGGAGGAGTAGGAGGAGGAGAAGGTGGAGTAGGAGGAGGGGAAGGTGGAGTGGGAGGGAGGAATAGGAGGAGTGGAAGGTGAAGTAGAGGGAGGAGTAGGAGGAGGAGAAGGTGGAGTAGAGGAGAGGAGAAAGAGGAGGAGAAGGAGGAGGAGAGAGAAGTAGAAGGAGGAGAAGGTGGAGTAGGAGGAGGAGTAGGAGGAGGAGAAGGTGGAGTAGAGGGAGGAGAAGGTGGAGTAGAAGGTGAAGTAGAGGGAGGAGTAGGAGGAGGAGAAGGTGGAGTAGAGGGAGGAGAAGGTGGAGTAGAAGGAGGAATAGGAGGAGTAGGATTGAATAAGAGGAGGAGGGAGGAGTAGGAGGAGGAGAAGTAGGAGGAGGAGAAGGTGGAGTAGGAGGAGGGGAAGGTGGAGTGGGAGGGAGGAATAGGAGGAGTGGAAGGTGAAGTAGAGGGAGGAGTAGGAGGAGGAGAAGGTGGAGTAGAGGAGAGGAGAAAGAGGAGGAGAAGGAGGAGGAGAGAGAAGTAGAAGGAGGAGAAGGTGGAGTAGGAGTAGGCAGGGGTGGGCAGGTAAGGGAGCAGACAGGTCTCCATATGGAGGCGTGGGTATGTAGCAGTGGAGGATACATCAGAAATCAGAACTAAGTAGAAATGCAATGGAGGCTGCAAATAGTCCATGTACAACAACTTTTAACTGGCCCTATGCTTTCCCTAGAGAAAAATAATAAAAGGCTAACAAGCACATCTGTCTGTACAGGCCTCGAACGCTTCACTCCGTGGGTATCCCGCAGTGGCTAGTCCACTACATCTCCCACACCAGACTTTTGCTCGTAGAGACAGACGCTATCCCTGACTCTCTTTTTTTTTTTCAACCTATTATAAAATATAACTCTTACTTACATCACAAATATACATTATCGCAATTTTATGTCTCGCAAAAGGGATAAAACTTATTTTACTCTTCACTGATAATGTATTAAAACTTACAAAATAGACAAATAACATTGTTTTTCTGCGAGATAAATGAAAAAGATAATGGAGGTTTTGTTAAGCTTTACATTTAGCTATACATTAATTTATCCTTTCTGGTTTCCAGTTTCTGGCTGTTAATGACAATGTACAATGTAATAGAGCAGCAGGAAAAGCTAGCAGAATGCTTGGTTGTATAGGGAGAGGTATTAGCAGTAGGAAGAGGGAAGTGCTCATGCCATTGTACAGAACACTGGTGAGACCTCACTTGGAGTACTGTATACAGTACTGGAGACCATATCCTTAGAAGGACATGGATACCTTAGAGAAAGTTCAAAGAAGGGCTGCTAAACTGGTTCATGGATTGTAGGATAAAACTTACCAGGAAAGGTTAAAGGATCTTATCATGTATAGCCTAGTGGAAAGACGAGACAGGGGAAATATGATAAAAGCATTTAAATACACAAAGGGAATCAACACAGTTAAAGTGGAGTCTATATTTAAAAGAAGGAAAACTACCATAACAAGAGGACATAGTCTCAAAAATAGAGGGACAAAGGTTTAAATAAAAATACTATCAGGAAGTATTACATTACTGAGAGGGTAGTGGATGCATGGAATAGCCTTCCAGCTGAAGTGATAGAGGTTAACACAGTAAAGGAGTGTTTAAGCATGCGTGGGATAGGCATAAGGCTAAGCACTTGCTGCTAGTAACAGATCTAGAATCAATACACTATAATGCCCAAAGTCTCGACTTCTATGCATATATAATAATAAAATATCTGGGCTTACATTAAAAAAATATGTTAGTCAGTCTTTAATCTTGGTGGTTAACATTATCCAATAAAGACAGATTGGAACACCCTCCCCCCTTATCCATTTGTTAGTAGTTAGGCTCATAATGTTTTCTGGTTCTTTTCAATTAGATCAAAACATCTTGAGACCAATCTTTAATTGTATTACCATTTGTTCAAGAAATCTTTGTTTATTAGAAATTTCTTTTAGCATGTTATCAATTTTTTGTACACAAAGTTAATACATATTGTTACTTAACACGTGAATCGGTATATATATATCCTTTCTACATATTAACCATCACTTGTCACAGACACTTTTCTGATATAGGGAAACATTAGCAGGATTATTTTAGTAATTGTAACTTTCTTGTTCATAATATGTGGGAATTAAGGAAGACAGCATGAAGATGAGCATGATAGGAGTAGATCTCGTCAGCCATGGATGGCCAGAACTGACACGATATATGGGCAGATATGACCTCACTAAGGGCAGAGTGAAGGCACTTAAGGACAACCTTCTTTTGTTCTAGGGGCCATTTTCCTTTAGGGCATACTAAGTCTCTCTGGAGGCGTGGGTTTCATGGGAAGTAACATTCTGTTCGGCAAAATGAAAATCTGAACTGTGGACAGACTTGAAGGATTAAATAAGACAGTTGTGAATATTATACATCTAACAGCCCACAAAGCTGTCTCTAGAAACATATACTAACTTAATAACTTCTATTCCTGCATCAGATTCACTCCCTAACCATCCTATCAATTTCTATTGAGATAACAAAATACACAATTAGAATATTTTCTAGCAAAAATTCATTGCTAAAATCTTATCAGTAGCTTCTGAATAACTCTACAGAACACCGAAGAGACAGACCTAAATCGCAAGCATGTCACCACCCCCCTCCGCCCCCTCCCCCCCGCGTCTCACAGAAGCGAGGGGAGGGGGGGGTGTTTTAGCAGAGGGGGATTTGAGTGGAACAAGAGAGAGACTGCCTGCCAGCACGAATTTAACCATGTCAACGCTGTACAGTAACAAGACAGAAGGACAATTACATTACAAAGCAAAAACACAACATTTCATTTAAACCCCCACCCTCTACCAGGGTAATGGCTAACACAAAATACAAAAACCCCACAGCGTTTTAAGATTGGGGTGGGATGGTGACCATGGTCAGCTACATTTCGGTCATTACTGACAGGATGATGGAAGTGGTCACCTCCTGGAACCCCCGACAGGGCACTGGCTGGGATAACTTCCCAGTAACACAATTATTATGATATACATACAGTTCTTAACCCTTTATGATTTATCTCTTCCTCTACCCAACCCTCCTGCTGGATAGCCTTTCTACTCTGTACCATGCTTCAGCAGTACGCAATAAATCATTATCTGTAAGCTTGCCTTTTTTCTCTGTCAGTAATCTACGCCAGCTTTCTGGCTGTAATCTACCACATGAAGGCACAGCAATTTTACACACTTTAGCAATCTTTGCAACATTTTTAACCAGTTCTTCACCTTCTCTATCTTCAACTAAATCACACGCGAGCCAGCCCCTAGCGGGCTTACTCGTTTCCTGTCCCATATCCCCCTATACAAAGCGTCCCAAGTATAGGTAAAGGAAAATGAAACAGAACGTCTACAATGCTCGACTGCCACTAGGAAGGGTGGGTCCCTCCCAGTGCGTCTTCCCAAAACGTAGACCAGTCACTGAATCCGTGTACCCTCGATGGTAACCACGGATTGGAGCGGGGTGAGAAGTGTGTGACCAATCACTTCTCTTTCAAGAGAAATAGGAGTGGATAGTGTAAATAGTACAGGAAGTAGAGGAAAAGTAAACAGTGAAAGTAGAGACAAACCCAGGAGTTTGAATGACTCCACACTTAAGACAACATTTAATACAACATTTCAATTTAAATACAGTGCATGCATCAACAGTAATCCCTTTCCTTTACTCTTGTGGCCACCAAGCCACCTCCCTCAATCTCGTAGTGTCCCCGCTCGGAGAACAACTTTCGTAAGTTTCACTACCAGCGGCCAAGGATAACGACTAACACCAGCCCGAAATCCATATGCCTCCCTCGTTACAGCAGTCCACTAAGTGTGGCCACCTCTATCCTCACTCCCGTAGTGCTCCCTATGGACCCACCCACAAGTCACACTACCCCGTGGTGATGGAGACAACAATGCCTGCCCGAATCCACACACCACAAATAAATTGGAATGCCACCAGCCTCAGCGCTCGAAGCTGGAGGGTACCATAACCTCTGCAAGCAGAGCAACGTACACAATGAGGCTAGCTAGAATATCAAAGTGACGTAACCGGGAAACCCCAGGAGGCAAGTCCCCTCCACAGAATCCCCCAACCCTTCTTTTTCCTTACTACTGTTAGCTAGACAGTACCTAAAAGAAGTAAACAGGAAAACAGGACCCCTTTGGAAAATCCCCACAGGTCCACCCCCCCTTTTTTCCCAACAGTCTGGGCCAAGTGACTCCTAAAAAGGGGTAAAAACAGGCAACAGAAGACCCCCAGGCAACCACCCACGGGTCCACCCCCCTTTATCTCTAAAGAGGGAAAGAACAAAACATATACCACTAGCACACCCAGGCAACAGATAGACTAAATGCAGGTAAACAAATGGGTAACAAGACACCGGGCAAGATATTACCTGTCTTTGATGCCCTCCCGGGAAGCAGTCACAGACACGTGGACGGGTCAATCAAAGGGGCTGGAACATACCGGTGGCTCCTGCAGAAGTCTCTACCGTGTACTCAGAGGTGATCAGTCTCTCTTCCTTCCCCCCTGATTCCTCCGTCCAACAGCGTCTTCCTTAGGACGGCTTACCGGCGGAGGCCATAGCCCGATGCCCCACGTTGGATGGACGCCAGATGAACAAGATTAATTTAGAAATAAACAAAAATGTTTAAAAGTCTATCTGTTCCTGTCCAAATCTGAGATGAATAAATTGCGTATACGCAGAAGTAAGTTCACACTGACACATGCAGTTCAGGTTAAAAACACTTCAGGAAATTTATTAGCATCTAGTTCAAAAGTGGGCACGCAGGCCTTTTTATATGCAAAATGACATCATCATTGAATATCAGATAATAACAAATAAACATCATTAATTGGGTTAAATGTTAAGTGGCTATGTCAGTGTCCACCCATTAATATTATTAATTGGCTCAGAGATTTGAGTGACTAGTGAGGCACCCTCCCATCATGGGATGTCGTCGCCATTGCTCTTTAGCACGAGGCTTACTCGGTGGAAAGGGGGGCTTGGGCGTCATTTTACGTAGTTAGTGATGTCAGTCTCGTGGTCTGTTCCAAGGTTCTTTTATGAATAGAACATTTCATTTTGTCACTGTTCTCCTGGCCTTGGATTATACTATGTTGCAAGTCAACGGAGATCCGCTAACTCCGGGCTAGTTATGTCCTTAGAGAGAGAAAATACAATCTCTTATTCATTATACTGAATACTGTCAGGAAATTCTGTCATGTAAGGTGAACAAAATGGAGTTAGTACAATAATTCAATACAGGTTCTAATAAAGATTTTAATAATTCTACATCACATACACAGTGCTGAGTCCATACACACATACAGACTGCTGAGTCCATACACACATACAGACTGCGGAGTCCATACACACATACAGACTGCCGAGTCCATACACACACACAGTGCTGAGTGCAAACACACACAGTGCTGAATCCATACACACATACAGACTGCTGAGTCCATACACACACACTGCTGAGCCCATACACACACAGTGCTGAGTCCATACACACATACAGACTGCTGAATCCATACACACATACAGACTGCTGAGTCCATACATACACAGTGCTGAGTCCATACACACATACAGACTGCTGAATCCATACACACATACAGACTGCGGAGTCCATACACACATACAGACTGCTGAATCCATACACACACACACACTAACACACAATTTTTTTGTAAAAAATGTAATCCCCCTGCCTCCTTACCTGTGGGAGTGCTGAGGGGATTCCCTGGGGTCCAGTGGTATCACCGGGCGGGTGGGCTGTCTGGGTGGCCGGCGCGCGAGGGAGCACTCTCCCCTGAGTGCTTCCTCTTCAGCTCCCTCGCACGCCGCGTACTGATGCCAGAGCTGGAAGATGACGTCATCTTCCGGCTCCCGTATCAGTGCGGTGCCCCCCAGGAGAAGAGGCTGGCCACAGTGGGTACATACCGGGTCGCAGGGCAGCCGGGCCCCCTGCGACCCTGGTATGTACGCCACTGTCTTACCTTAAACTCTCTCTTACAGCCTGTGCCCGAAACAACAGCATTCATAAGTTTTACTCGGGACTCAGACCTAACAAATTTTGCAGTCAAAGCCATGTGGTTGCATTTTTGGAAGATCAAGTCCCTCAAAACCGATATCTTTAGACTAATCTATGGCATCCCAAAGTAATTGTTATTTCACAAATTTAATTTTTGATCTCTCTTAGAGGGCAACACTCCCCTTTCACCTTCCAATTGTGCTACTTATTAACCTGTTGCTTGGTTGCCACCACCATGGAGGAACTGCGCTAACTTATGCTGCTAGAACAGTTTTTTAATGGACTATCCCCGGAAGCGCAAGAATGGGAGATCGCAAACCTCTCACCTTACCTGAAGCCGCTAGATTGGCGGACCAACATTTTGATGCCAGGAGACATCATGGGCCGGTTAATAGGAGCTACCCGAGACCGCCTGTACAACCCAGCACGATACCCTCCGCACCAGTCAACCACCTTCCTCTCTCTACAACGGCAGATCCAACATTCAGTGCCATACCTGCCGACAGTGGGAGCATATGTCCAGAGAGAGCACGCAGAACCGGAGCAGACAGGCATGGAACCAAGTGAGGCAGAACTCCACACCAACGGCACATCACTACCAAGTAGAGCCTGACACCCGAGAGTTACTGAGCCTGCAGACAGAGGAACCCCTGGGCGTTTTACACGAAGTGATGTCTGCCCAGGCCACCGACAACCGGCAGCATCATCGCCAAGTTGTGTTTGTTGGGGGGAAGGAAGTACAGGAACTACGGGACCTGGTGGCCCCACATTTAGTTCCAGATACTGCCTGACACTGGCGGGTCTGTGGCAGTCCGGGTGGCGGGGGGAGCCATGTACCGCCTACCCATCGCAAAGGTGCATTTGAACTGGGGTGCTGGGGAGGGGGTTGTGGAAGTGGCTATTATGAAGCAGTTACCCGCGGATATTGAATTGGTGAATTACTTGGGCCGGATGGCTTCGGCATTTGTACCTCAGGCCAGGTATGCTATAACACCAGAAGCATACCGGCGGAGGTTCAGGGATTTAAAGAAGGTGGAGAAAGACTCACATGCTGAGTGGGCATGCAGACTACAACGAGCAGTCTTGAGGTGGGTGCAAGCGAGCAAGGCACGGTCTATGGAGGATGTATTGCAAATGGTACTGCTGGAGCAATTTTATGAAGGAGTAACCAGCGAGGTACAGGAGTGGGTAAGAGACAGAAACCCTACCTCCCTTACCGAAGCAGCCAGGAAGGCAGACGAGTACCTGGATGCACGCAGGCAGCAAAAACCTGCAGCTCCAAAAGTACCTTTTAAAACCTTTGGGGGAACCAACTACACGCCAGCTCTACCAAGGTCACTACCACCACCACCACCACCCGCTGCACAGCCACGTTTCCGCCAGCCCGCGTCGGGCCCTTGCCACCACTGCCAGAAGTGGGGACATTATAAAAGGGAATGCCCCCAGTTGCGGGACCGTTCCACCTGGATCCGACCCGGTCCACCACCACCACCGAGAGCCGCCACAGCCCATCACTACCAGGACATCGTGGCCACACCGTATGGTTCAGCAGTTCCCATCACAACCGTAGAACAGTGGGAGGTACTGCACGAGGCAGATCCCGTCCAGGCTAACGCAGACAACCGCCAGCACCACAGGCAGACCGTGTATCTGGAGGGTAAAGCGGTTCAGGGGCTACGTGACTCAGGAGCCACCATCACCCTGGTAAAAGTCACCTGGTCTCAGACCAAGCTAAACTTAGTAAGACTGTGGCCGTCAGGGTAGCCGGGGGAGCAGTATACCGGCTACCCACAGCAAGGGTACATTTGCATTGGGGAGCGGGGGCAGGGCATGTGGAGGTGGGGTTGATGCCGCAGTTACCGGCGGAGGTTTTATTGGGGAACGATCTGGGGAGGCTCACATCTGCTTTTGAGCCCCAGACACCCACCACAGGAGAAGCTCACCCTGTGGTCACTCGACAACAGGCCCGCACCCAGGACTACAACACACTCCCGGAGGTCCAGGTAAGAGATCCTTCCCCTTCCCTGACTGTGTTCCCTGGGCCCCTCCTAACGAATTTGCAGCTGAGGTAGTGACTGACCCCACCTTGCAGGTGTATAGGGACAAGGTGACAGCAGACACGCCTGGGGGGGAGGGCGAAAGGTTTATTTGGGACAACCAGCTGTTATATCGGGAGACGGATAAGCAGGTATCCGGGTCAGACCCGATTGTGATGAGGCAGTTAGTGGTACCTCAGCGGTACCGGGCGGAGTTACTACGGATAGCCCATGACATTCCGCTATCTGGACATTTAGGGGTCAGCAGGACCCGATACAGGTTAACCCAAAGTTTCTTTTGGCCGGGAATTAGCCAGGAGGTGCGCAGGTATTGCAACACGTGCGATACCTGTCAAAGGGTGGGGAAAAGGGGGGACCGGCGCAAGGCCAAGTTACATCCCTCCCCATAATCGAGGAACCCTTTAGCAGGGTAGCAGTTGACCTAATAGGACCCCTCAACAAAGCAAGCCCGTCAGGTAAAAGATTTATCCTGACCGTAGTAGATTATGCCACTAGATATCCAGAGGCGGTGGCCCTGACGAATATACAGGCTGAGACAGTAGCTGAAGCCCTGATGAAGATATTCTCCCGGGTGGGACTCCCCAGGGAGATTGTCTCCGATCAGGGCACCCAGTTCACCGCCGAAGTCACGCAGCGCCTCTGGAAGTTTTGTGACATTAAGCCGGTCATTAGTTCCCCTTACCACCCCCAGACGAATGGGCTCTGCGAACGTTTCAATGGTACATTGAAACAAATGCTCCGAACCTTCGCAGAGACCCACAAGGACTGGGAGAAGTTCCTGCCCCACCTCCTCTTTGCTTACCGGGAGGTGCCGCAGGAATCCACTGGGTTTTCCCCATTTGAACTATTGTTTGGCCGCAGGGTACGAGGGCCTTTAGATTTGATCAGAGAGCATTGGGAGGGAGAACGGAGCACTGACGGTACCCCCATCATACCCTATGTGTTGGCATTCCGAGACCACCTTGAGGCCTTAACTCAGACGGTACGCGAGAACTTGCAGGCGGCTCAGACACACCAACGCACATGGTATGATCGGGGCGCCAGGGACCGTAGCTTTCAGGTCGGGCAGAAGGTGTTAATCTTAAAACCTGTCCGACACGATAAGCTGCAGGCCGCCTGGCAGGGCCCTTATAAGGTGGTGGAACAACGGTGTGACACCACTTATATAATCGCTCGTGCGTTGGTACTGGGGGGCGACGCATGCTCCATGTGAACATGATGAAGCCCTACCAGGAGCGCTCGGAGGAAGTGACCGCTATATGTGCGCCTAACTCCGAGGAGTTTGACAGTTTACCTCTCCCGGATCTGCTGGGAGAGGGTCAGTTATCCGGGGACTTAGGGGAGGTCACCCTGGGGGATCGGTTGAGCCCACAGGAGCGGAGCGAGGTACAACAGCTGTTGAGGGAGAAGCAGGATATCTTCTCTAATGTACCTGGTTACACTCCTCTGGCCACTCACCGAGTAGACACCCCAGGGCAACTTCCCATGCGTCAGACCCCGTACCGCATCCCAGAAGCGGTACGGGCGAACATGCGCAAGGAGATAGACGAGATGCTCCAGCTGGGGGTGATTGTGCCCTCGGACAGCCCCTGGGCATCTCCGGTAGTCCTAGTACCAAAGCGGGACGGCACGACCCGGTTTTGTGTAGACTACCGGAGATTAAATGAGAAGACGGTATCGGACGCCTATCCGATGCCCAGGATAGACGAACTC